GCTGAGCCCTCGACAATCCACGGGAAGGCCTGCCGCATACGCTGTGGGAATGCCTCGTCCTCGACAACTGAGTATCTGACTATTTGGGAAAACACCTCTCGCACGACAGCACCGTTCAAGAAGGAAAAACTGGCCACATCGCTACGGACAGCCCGCAGGCCATTAACGAGCAGTGGCAGCAAAGTATAACGAAACAAATACTTCCCTTTTCTCAGCATAGAAAACCGTCACCTTCACACTCGCAATTGTCACTCAATGAATTCATTGCGCAATACCGTTCTGAGCTGCAATACTTCCTGGTGCCATCCACGTCCCTTGTCGACACATTGATGCGGATGGGCGCCCATCCATTCCTCCCGATGACGCTGCATGTCTGCGACGCACCCTCAGATCCAAAAGACACGTCCCTCACCACAGCCGCGATCGACATCGCCCTGTGGGCACGCATCGCCTTGTCAGAGGAGCAGGAGTACGTCAGGCTGTCAGCAAGGCACCCTCCAGCACAACACATCACAACCAGAAGCACCAGCAGCACTGCAAACCGTGGGATGACGTGGATCAACTGAAACATGCCGTACGTTTAAAAAAAATACTTCATGGTTTGGAAAGAATAAGAAACACTGACAATATCTCAAAGGAAAAGAAAAAATGAAAAAGAGAATTTAGGCGTCCGCAGTCAAAGCAAACTGCCAATCAAAAAAAAAAAGTAGTGGAAAAGGTGCTCTCAACCACAAAATCAAAAAGAAGAACAAAACAAAAAGCCGAAGCGTGGGACGACCAGCGCACACACACTCTCACTGCTCCCGTAAAGCAAAACACACAGGGAGAGAGAGAGAGGTCGCCCACTCAACGCAATGGAAACAAAACAGAAACAGTTACGGTGCTCCGCCCATGCAGCCAGGCAGGACGGCAGCGGTGCGTGTCGTGCAAAAGAGAGCACCAACGGGCATGCATGGGTGTGCATGCATATATACAATGGGCACATTATTGTGTGTGCCTCGTGGGGTGAGGTGAGGGCGAGAGTCCATGCAAGGGGACACACACACAGAGAGAGAAGGACGAGTGTGTGTGCGGGCGGTGCATGGCTCTCTCTCACTCACTCTCACGCGGCCACCACCGCAGCCGCAGCCGCACACGCAACAACAAGAAGAAGAAGCAAAAGAGGGGAGGTGGTGTGCGAGACCGCGGTGCTGCCGTCACTGTCGCCAGTCGTCGCCGTTGTGATTTTCGTGGCTGTGGCTTCGACTGGTCTTTCTTTCGGATTGGCATCTTTATTTTCATTTTGTTTTCCCTCTGCTGTCCCTGCGGCATCAGCTGCTGGAGCATCGTCTCCAGTTGTTGGTGTGCTGTTGGGATTTGTTATATTCGATGCTCCCTCCGCACCAGAAGATATAATTGGCTGCTCTTGACCGCCTGCTGTTATCCCCTCTGTGGTGCTGGTAACAGCTTCTTCTTTCCTTGTATCCCCCTTTTCTTTCTTATCATCGTCTTCCTCCTCGTCTTCCGCTTTTTCTTCCTTTTTCTCCTCCTTTTTATATTCTTGTGCATTTCGATCCTGGTTGTCCATCGCTGCGTCTTCCTTTTCTGATGCTTCTCCGGGTTGTGTTGCCTGTGACGGGCACGGTACCCCTTCCGGTAACTCTGAAATCGTTGGTGCTGCTGCTTGTGACGCCGTCTTTTGACCGCTTTGGACACCTTCTCCAGCGCCACCGACAACCTCTTTTTCTTTTTGAGGTTCCTCATCGGGCGTAGTACCCGAAGGTTCTTGAGTTGTTTCAGAACATTCACCACCGCCGGCACCGCACCACAGCACGCAGAGGACACACACCAGCAGCACACG